AATGATTTTTATCAAGTGTACGTAGAACTGCTTTGAAACTAAGACGTACTGACACACGACCTGGATTCAGTACATGGATAATGTCTGATATCTGGATAGCTGAATAATGGACCCCGCCTTTATTTTTCTGAATAGAAATACGATTTGGTCTTTTCTTAACAAAGACTCAACAAATTCCTGGTTCAAGTAACTAGAGTAGAAATCACCCCAGCAAAAGAAAAACACAACACACCTGGTCAATCACATAAGTTTTTTTCTTTTGCTTATCATCCTTATATCTTCACTTAATGCATGGCCAACATTAGTGAGATACCGTGGGGCTTGAAAGTCTGCAAAGGTTTTCTTTTTTTCAAACCAAAGCTCTTTTTAACAACCAATCCAAATGGATACACACTCAGACATTAAACCCAACATAATGGTGTGAGGGCAGCTTTACCTACACTTATTGATTTCAACGCTTCTGTCCTCAGATTGTGTGCTGATTATTCTGTTGTCTCGTAACTACAAAGCCAGTTTTCACAAGATAAGTTTGCTCAGCTTGTTTTCTCAAGAAATCTGCCTTTCATTCTCTCGAGGTGAATACGTGTAATAATACATCATGAGAAAAGTCAGCTTTGGTTTCTTGAGATCAAAAAGTGAGTTGGGTAGAGCAAATCAAATGAGTGGTCCATGGACTGATACTAAAATCATTTTCATTATTTATGTATTTGCTACCGGATCTGTAAAATGATAGGAAATCACACACGTGCATTCTCTTTACGTCAATGCTCTTGAGCACTGACTGTAGAATCTGTGGGCTTAGAACAGCTCAACAAACACCACAGACACTAGGTGAAGACTAACCGTTCCTTAGCCAAGAATATATTATCCAGACAAAAGAAACCTGGTTGTCTCAAAGTCGTTAAACAATTAGTTCGCAGTATGACATCATGAATATCTTTCAAACTGCTTCTAAATAAATCATATTTCGGGCACACTTTAGGTTTAAATGTAAGTATTTTTCCCATTAGCCGGATACATCCAGAAGTCATTTTCACATTAACTGATTCTCTTAGTTTCAAATAGTAAATCCATCTATCCAAACAAATCCCTCTTTCACCATTTAACACAGGTTCAGTGTTGGGCTGGAGCCTAACATTTGTTGTCCATTTTGTTAATTTTTCTTTATATTTAAGGCAAATTTATATTTAAAAAATTCACCTCGTGGAAGTTCATGTCCCCATTTTTCGTCCCTTCAATTACTGGATGCTTTGCTCAGAAAGAAAACTTTGGTAGAAACACAGAAACCTTTAACGTGGCCCACTATGAGCGTCTAAACCAAGCTCAGGGATTACTGATATAGAGGTGACTATATAAAGAATGAGGACACGTTTACCTTCATACAGGCTGCGTTTGTCAGTCAGACAAATCTGTTTCTCAGCATTTAAAAAGCCAGTTTTCCAAGTTAATATTTCCCCATTTTGTACATTTTAAACAGCAACAGGCCGGTTGTTAGTTGTCATTTTGCTAAGCTACAACTGAAAGCCTTTTGAACATCTTCATTCAGATGCACATTCATGTTTCTGCTTCTGTTTCATGTAGCTTGTGCACTGTGTTCCTGAGAGGTACACTCAGATAAAATCACATTAGGAAGGAAAAAGAGGGAGATTTAAGAAAGATATAAGGTTAATGACATTTGCTTGAGTTCATAACCAGATAAAACTAGTTAGTAAGCTTTCTTAATATGTAGAATCCCAAACACTCACTGTCTCTGGTTATTTAGTTTCAAGTGAGTGTTTATCTGCTCCCTGAGTAACAGAAAAACAGTGACAATTTTCATATAGTCTTAACACAGCATCAAACACTAGTTCATTTAGATGCTATTTTACACTCCTTTTACTGAGGCTGACAGACAGAGTTCAAACCTCACCATACTGTTATCAAATTCCAACAGAAAGATCAAGCTCAAGTGACTATTTCTATACTTTTCCTCTCTTCAAATGCTACGCACATCTGTATGATCAAAATGACCAGGTAATGCATTGAGCAGTGCCGTTCATTTATGATCCCTATGGTTTAGCTCCTCTCTCTCAGTACCATCTCTCTTTTCTGTTTGATGTGTCTTTTTTTGCCCCTGAAAAATAACAGCGGAATTGTGAAGCTTCATATTCTATATTCACAAAAAAACGTCATTATTGCCCAGTGATGGATTGGCGACATGACCTGGGTGTAAACCATCTCTCACTCGCTGTCAGCTGGGATGGGCTCCAGCACCATGGGTCAACAGTCAAAGAACAAATTAACGTCATTATTTTAAACAGAGAACTGCTGGAAAAGAGCTGAAAAATATATAAGATTGATCTGATTTTAAAATCTTGGAGGAAAAATGTATGACAACCAGCTAAGTTGTGTTACTGTAGCTTCATTGAACCCTGGTGAGACAGACTCATTGGTAATTCTTAGAGCAGGGGAAAGAATATCCGAAGCAGACTTTCCAACGTCTTTAAATGTTTTCTTGTTCTTTTGCAGACAATTCATGTTGTTTCCAATGTGAAATCTGTATGAGTCCATGTAAGATATTGATTTTTTTCCCATAAGGATTATTGTTGGTAGGCACAGAGCAATAGAAATTTATTTGAATGAATTTTATTAATTAACTACAACATGAGTCGTCCTTTCAGATGGACCTGATATCTGATTGTATTTTTTATTGTGTCAGCATATCAAATTGAGATACTTTCTGTTTAGAGCAGAGCATCCTTTCAGATTTTCAAAAGATTTCCACTATGCATGAACTGTTTTATACTATTACCTCCGTTTCTACCATGTTCCATGAAAGCTGATAAAAGGTCACGCAGGTTTGTGTCACTGTGATGTAAAAAGGTGCGAGTTTATGTGTCACACTCAGACTGAGAGACAGTCATGAGTGAGCATGGCGGTGGTTTGGTTTCGCAGCGGCGTGGGGTGCACTCAGAGGTGCCGACACAGGCTCTGATTCCCGGTATTGTTAACTTTAAACCTCCCCTGTGATACCACAGTAACACGGCGGCCCTGTATTGTATCAGACCCTGAAACTCGGCTGAGTTAAGTCTCACCTGTTGGATGAACTATTTGACATTTTAATCAAAGACATAAGGTTTTTGATGACAACAGTACAGTTTTTTCTTTTGGAATTTCATTGCATGTAAGAACATAACTCTTAGTTTATTCTTCCGTGTTTGGCTTCTGGACCAACATTTTTGTCCATCTCAAAAAAATAAGTTTAAAAAATAAACACTATGATAACCAATTAAAACACAACATAAAGTACCAAAGTGAATAGAAATTAAGAATTGAAAGCAAATCAAAATAAGACAATTAAACTGACGATGAACAATAAATACAAAAAACAGTTATAATTATCAAAAGGCAGGCTTGAAACATTCAGACTCATTCATATGACAAAGGAATAGTTTTTTTTTATGTATCTTGTGTGCTGCCATTGAGTCAAATCTTGTTCATATTAGAAGCTATTATTTAATCATACCAAATACTCTAAAATAAGATGGAGATGTCCTCTGGTATAATAAAAAGCAAACCACTGTCGTTAGCAATAACAGAGTGCAACTTTGTACAACCGTTCAACTATCACACCTTTGAGGTAGTCGGTTTGAACTCATGTTAGGAAATTGTTTCACTTAACAATATATCATTATTAAAAGTTCAACTTTTAGTTCTGCCAAAAGCATCAATCTAACTTTTACTTATTCATGTACAAAGTCTTTAAAACTAAACCAATAATATTGAATAGTTGTAGATAGAAATAAATAAAAACAACTATAAATTATTTTTTAAGAAATCCCTTTTACACTTTCCCCTCATCAAATTCTACCCAGTAAATACTCATTGTTAGGGCTGGATATTTAAAGTACCTGGTCCCAGAATTCATTTGTAGTTACTGAGCAGAAAGATCTGCAAAAATGCAGATTTATACAAGTATTTCCATACACAAGTATTGACAGCTAAATTTTTTATTCTCTCATACTGGTTTATGAATCAGTGAGAAATGTCTTAGCAAGCCCTTTTCTAACTAATTAATTAAGTTTTTTCTTTTATTGTCCAGGCATATACTGTAGTGGTTTACCCTCAATAACCTATCCACAGATGGCTTGACTCAAGTTGAGATGCAGTGGGTTTAAAGTAGGAGTTATATCAGAATCCAGCGTTTCAGCGTTTAAAAAGTACCACTAAAAAAAATCTTACACCAATAGCTAACCGTTTAATTTCCAAATGTTTTCATTTCAGTATAGTTTCTAGGGGGGGGGAAACAACTTACTGATGTGCCTCTTTTCACATGCACTTAAAAAAAGAAATGAGTGGCCAATGAAAAGAGAGACAGCGCAAAGACGCAGAGGGTCTTATACTCTTGGGCTCCGATTTGATCTTCTTGAGCGTCTTTCTAGTTATTCACATTAGTACCAAGTACAGGATGTCACTTTTGCAAAAGAAAAAAAGGGGTTAATTGCTTCTGTAAATCAGTTTAGTGCCTTGGAGAAAAAAAAAAATCAATCTGTTTTTTCAGCCAACATAATAGAGAAACCAAACTTGGATTATTTGATTATTTAAAGAAAGAAGGGGGGGGGGGGGAGCAATAATAAATTTTGTGTTTTTTTTTTTTTTTTTTTTTTTTTTACAGAAATCAGAAAGCTCATCCGAAGAAAAGGGGATAATTGAGAATGTTGTGGAAAGTGCTGGTAATCTACAAGGCATTTTTAAATGTATTCTATGTATTGCAAGTTCTAAGCATTTTTATACGGAGGCATGAGGGTGCATTGGAGGCACTTAGACAAACTTGTTGAGATAATGTACTGATGAAGCCCCCGAATCTTAAGGGGATGATAATAGAAACACAGTTCTTAACATCTGTGACACACTTTCATACACCTGTACAATTTAACAGCAGTTTACATCTCAGATTGTATCTGCTTCTCAAACAGAGCCAACTTCAATGACATTGTCTAAAGACCACAAGAACACGAGAGTCAGTTCAGACTGGTTTATTTTCTGTGAGCTCGCTTTTTCTTTTAGGGTTGGATCAAACGTTTCAAGCCATTTTCTTTTCACATTTGAAATGTCGCTGAACAAAGTAAAAATTAAAACAAAAACAAATCCAAATACACAGCCACTAAAACACTTTAAAAAGCAATAAAAAAAGTTACAGGACTGTGAAAGGAATGCCCAACGAACAATAATGGAATGTCTTTCACAAATCTGAACTTTGTGATGTCAACAGTAAAAGATCCAAAGGAACAAAACTGAGGTGACAGCAGCTCTTCTGCTGGAAAAAAGTTAGAAAGATTGAACAAAAAAAAAAAAAGAAAACAAAAAAAAAGACAGCAACCAATATTGTGATGGCAGTTGTTCAGTGTTCTGACCCAGTTAATGTTGTATTATTACATTAATTCAGCTTTTAAACGTGGCCTTATTCCTGATGGTTAGAATTTAATTGAGCATCTCTTAGAAAACCCATTCTCATCTGCAGGAAGCTTAGGATTAGGCGCCACCTTTAGCCTGTAAAGGGAAACTGCAGGAGGACAGCCTTTCCAGGTCCCAGGGTGAAGTTGTCCAGGCTGACTGAGGACTCGTCCACCAGGTTTTCGTCTGTTGATAACTTAACCTTTGCCGTTTCTGGCAACTCTCCCTCTGCAGGAACAAGGTTTGTGTTACAGGAAAATAATCCAGACACAAAGTGTGCAATACTGCACATCTCAAAATAAGCTTGAGTGTTCTGTGAAACATACCTGTAGATGGCAGGGAGAGCTTTAGCGTCTCCGCTTGGTCTCCCCAGTTGACAGCAGTTATATACCTTTCACTCTGGTCCCATAAGCGCAGGAAAGAGAGGGATGAGGGAGAGGAGTAAAGAGGGTAGTAGTCGCCGTAAAGGAGGGAGCGCTCTTTGCCTCGCAGGTCACTGAGGGATATGAACCACTTTCTCACAGCAGCATACTCCTTAAGATTAGCCTGCAAATGCGTTACAAGCAGTTTTATGAATGACAGTGAATCAAAGGCTTGTTGCCAAAGAGCCTCTAGTCAATGTTGCAGGTTTGTGTGAACAGACTCACCTCAGCAGTCTCTGCAGACGACTCTTTCTCTACATCCCAAACCATCTTTGGTGATGTGGAATCCTGGAAGGAGAAACAGAGAAGTTATTTGAGGAATTTTCAGCTGTTGAAATATACATTTACATGCGTTTTGCGGTTCTGCTAAAAGACAACAGAAAAAAAAAGAAACAAAAAACTTACATTAGCCTGAAGACCGATTTCATCTCCGTAGGTAAACACTGGGGTTCCAGGCATGGTGAACAACAGAAGCTGGTAGAGACGAGTCAGACCAGGGGCCTTTTTGGACAAATGAACCCCATTGCTGGCACCAAGACCCCAGCCGATACTCCTCTGCTCAAAATGGAGGATGTTCATGTCCCCAAGGCGCTCCTTGCCTGCACAAGCAGTGAATAAAAAAAATGCTTAGTTTTTTTTTAAATCAGCCAAATTCAACATGCGGTTGGAACAAAGATGGGGTTGAAAAACTTTTTAGAAAAAGATTAACCAGCAGCTTCAGCCTACCATCAGTTTTTCTGCTGAGCAAGTCCAACAGAGCAAGATCAACACCAGAAGAATTGACCAGCTGAGTCACTGCTGGGGCCGAAATGTCTTCAACCACACCCATCAGAGCCCTGAGAAACAAAACAGGGTCATATCTGTCAATTAGCAGACTGTATTACACCACCCAATAGTTTGAGATTGGTGAAATTTCAGATCAACTACTTAAATTCCAACTGAGTAACCAAATGCCAAAAATCAGACTGTTGTACATAAAACCACCCACAGGGTGTCACTGCTTCTACATAAACCCACACTAACCCATTCAAAACCCTTTTTTTTTTATGTATAAAAATTGTAATTTCTTCATTGACTGTTTGTAAATCTGCAGGAAGTTAGAAAATAGTAACCACACTTGCCTTGCTTTGGTTGCCTCAGAGCGGTTGCCCTGGACAGCTGCTCTTAGTTTTGGCCACTCAGCAGACAAAGCAGCCTGAGAGAAGTTTGATACTTTTATGCCACCGACACCCAAATTCAGCCAGTACTCCGCTGCAGCCTGGAAGACAGCAAAGGCACTTCAGCATTATGGACTTTATTGATGAATTAAGAGAAATGACGACAACACAAGATTCCTGCAATCGTTTCAGAACTAAGCATCGTCACATCAGTGTGAAATAGACTGTGTTCTACCTTGAGTTTCTCCACCGTTTCATCAGTGCTTTCGTCAGGGTTGGCAGTGAACCAGGGAGCAGTTCCATGATAGTTTGGAGTCAGGTCAAGCACCACAGAAATACCTAAAGGATACAGAAAGGTTTGTTCACCTGAGCCTATGAAGGGAAGCCGAACTCATGTGAAATAACTTACCCTTCTTGTTTGCTTTTTCAATCAAAGCTTGAAGAGTTTCCTTTGATCCATAACTTGGGTCAATCTCTTGCAGCTCGAGAGTGCTTGGTTGGTCAGCCTGCACAGTGTGAAGAGGACCAAGAACCAGGCCTTTGACCTTCAGCTTAGACATATCATCCAATTTTCCCTCCACACCTTGTATGGAAAAAACAATAGGGCACAGAGAGAGGGAGACAGAGGAAGGAAATAATATGAGTGTGTGAATTCCACATCATGCGAGGACAACATAGAGCCGATGTGTGAAATGTAGCTGGCTCTGGGGCTTTAATGATAGAGGGCTGACAGCTAAAGGGACATGGTCTAGGTCACAGCAGTATAGAACAAAGTTACAGGGTAAACTCTGCTTTTTGAATAAACTTAAGGCTAAAGCATGTGAAGGATCCCACCCACACCCTCTGCTGGCCATTGGGGGTTGTAGCACAAGAGGCCCTTAATGTGAGCCCAGTGCCAAGTCATGTGTCGTTTTTGGACTTCTCCCAAAAGCCTGCTGGAACCCCAAGTTCCCCTTTGCAATTGGATTTAGGACAGAACATTCTGTCCTTCTATTTCATCCCTACACATGTAAAAAAACACAAAACTGAATGTTAAATTTAAAAATCGAATAAACTTTGACCTTTTTAAGACTCAACAGTACAAGGTTCGGAAACTCAACCTTAAACCAGAATGAGATATGAATGTAATGACTTGTAACTATGTCCTTTTGGCCTTTAGTCACTCTGTGTTGGCCTAGTCAGCAGTATAGTGTCAAAGCAGCTGATTCAGGCCATGCAGAACACAGGAAGTCCAAAGCACCAGCACATGACTGCTTCAAATTGTAGTGTGTGACCCCCCAATTTTTTTTTCTAAACATAAATAAATAAATAAATTTAAAAAAAAAACTTTACATCCAAACATACAATAAGACTCTGCAAAAGACGTGTGCAGCATTTACCGTCAACTTCACTTTACCTTTCATTCCATCAGAAAAGGCCTCGAGGTCAGTGATCTGGTATAAAGGCCCTTCATTCCACCAGTACATCTCAGGGACGGGCTTGCAGCGGGGGGCTTTAACAATAATCACAATGGCTCCAGCAAGCATGCCGACCCAGCCCAACCAAAACAGGACGAGAAGCACCCAGCGGGTTCGCACCCATCTGTAAAAACCAAACGGGTAAGAGGTGTAAGCTTAGAATGAAGTGATTACAATTCACACACATGCAGACCCCATGTTTGCAAGACGGCCATTAGTGGGTCTTACCCTGGAGTGCCAGCAACCTTCATCAGCTCCTCTTTGGAGAGGCCAGTGAATGTAACCTCATCCTCAGGCACCTTCAGCTTGACGCTGCCATTCTTCTCGCCACCTGCTGCCTGGCCGTCACCTGTCATGGGCTGCTTTTCGGGGTCCAGCTCATTGAGCTTTACTTCCTCCATGTCGATCTCTGTGTCCTTGGTCATTTTTCAGTTCTCCTTTTTGCTTTAACGAAAGAGGGAAATACTAACTGTAGTTCTATTCTCCTCTAAAAGGTCAGGGAAGGCAACATAAACCAGTATATTTTCAAAGTTCTCAAAACTGGGGCCGCAGGGATCTCTGCCAAGGCTTTAGTCCAGCCATGTTACACACAGCCGCGCCGGTACATGAGGGGATGTCGTTGACAGAAAACCAACAGCTAGTTCAACTTTTAACGGCCGAATTCAAATGATAAATCATTGTTTTATGAACTAACGTCCGTTATTGCCATTAGTACTCCGTTAGTACTCCAGAACTATAGTTAAGTGATTGAAACATATCTAACGTACGGAAAAAATAAGGAATTGTGAATTTCATCAGCTGGCATGAGGAGGATTTACCGGCTTTGCTAAATCAGCGGAAATATTCGGCACCTTTCACAATAAGAAAACAGTTATTTGATGAAAACCCAAAATGTACACGTATGCGGAATTTTATACTTCGGATCATACGAGCAACGGCTTAGCTTTAATTATACCTCGCCTAATAACGAGTCTAGTGCGCATTTTTCCGAGGAAATTATCCTTTACTGTTAGGTCTACCGGAAGTTACTTTAAAACGGCGTTCTCCTGCTTGCTCATCTTAATTTTCATCTATCGCAAAAAAAAAACTACAAAAACTAGAGGACTTGTTCGAGTTTTTTCAGAGCAAACAACGAAAAAAGACTGAGTACACTCGAGTAAAAATTTTAATTTATGACACCACGTCGTGTAATTTGTCTTATTTCAAGATGATGAAATCAAGACCGTCTCTACGTCAGCGGCGCGTGCTGCTCACAAGCTTCGCCATCTCCGCGTGACTCTGTAATATTACCTAATTTAGCTCAACTAATGTTTGCTATTTAAAGGACACTTCTATTCAGGAAAAAATACCTTACCTGTTAAAAGCAATGAATAATCCGTCCAGTTTTATTGTATGTGTGTGAGTTTGTGTTCCTTGGTCTGTTCTAATCTCCCGGAAAGGCGCCGCGCTGTGTATTTGTAGCTAATCTATCCCCGCCTACGAAGAGCAGGACCAATCATACTTCCCTTTCTCTTTTTTTTATATCTCTTCTGAAAAAGAACGAAAAAGTATTATATTATTTAGGATTATTCGAAGGTATCTGTAATTAACCTGGAATTTAGCATGAATTTGTGTTAATATGTGAGGTCCAGAGTTTTTATTTTCTCCATCCGAAGCCCTGCCATTAGAGCTACTGTTCGGGAACAAACTGTACAGAACAAACCGTTTACAGCGTCTGACTTGCCATAAGTTCAGATGACGTTTAGACAGTGCAGAAATATGTGAAATAGGCTACTACAAACTTATTTGAATATAATTGTATCTAGTTCACTAGATTTAATGATAAAGTAACTCCTCAAAACACCAGTAAACATTCTACTGAGGGAAATAGGTATTTGTTCAGAACTGATCTAATTGAACTCAGATCACATCAGTCACTATCTGCACCCTGTGCGCCACACGTTTTCTTCTTTTATTGTAGGGTGATTAGCATTCATCAAGATGCAATAGGTGATCATGCTTACACTTCAGTCATAACTGAGCATGTAAGGTTTCAATGTTTTTAAAAGTATTAGTAGATGTTCCTGACACTGAGCTGTCCTTTCTCATTATAGTACAACTTTCTGCTCTAAATGTTTCTGCTGTTTATTTTTCTTGCGTACATTTTCTGAGGCCATATTGTGGAGAAGGGATTTGCTGGAAATCAAACAATGTTGGCAATCCAATGTGAAAACAATAATTCTTTATCACTGTTTGTGCTGCTGGACATTTCCCAGCTGTTGCTGACCCTCTTGAGTTACAGTAACCACAGGTCTCTTATAAGTCAACAGAAACACAATTGTAGTTTCAAATATACGATCGGTGTACTTAGTTGTACACTATCATGCGAAATGCTTTGATTTACAGTAAGATCTGTGTAAAATATTGAAATGCGTTGAGGTTTTCCTTGTTCAGTGTTATCAGCATCAGTTATTAATTTACATAACAATTACTGGGTACGTTTGCTGGCTTACAAATGATTTAATAAAAGAAGGTGAGAGGCAGTGATTAATGGTTTTCATGATTAAAAGCTTAAAGAAATGATAGTATCCTGTTTTCCCCTGTGACTTTCTTACTTTTACAATGTATTTTCAATCTCTCACCTTTCTAGCCAGCTTTTTGTCTTTGTGACTGTTTATCTGCCTCATACAATGTCATGTTAACATTTTTAGTTATGGAGGAACTTGTTCTTGCAGATAACTGCAGGAACAGGCTCCTCCACTCTCCTGAGACTGTATTAATGCAAGTGAGTGCTTGTTCTGTGTTATGTTTTCTTTTAAATTAAATACAAATACTCTAGAGCACACAGATTTATATCACTCTGGGTGATAAATTAAACAACTTTGTAAGTATCAAATCTTTAAAAAAAAAGTAATGATCCATGGACTTCTTTTCTCACAATAATGTTGAAAAAAGTAGATTTATCTGTTCCGTTTTTAGGTTAGACTTGCTATTTTCACAATGACTTCTGTTTATACTGAATGTAAGTCTTTCTGTAGTTGGTCTTGGATAAATCCGAAGTTGAGGCAGGCCCATATTCAGCATGTACCTACTTTTGAAAAAGGGACATTATCTTTCATGAACACAATTATTTTGCCAGGACTTAGGCACTGTCTCAATGTGATACCTCCGTTTCAGAAATGTACATTTTGGCACCTGAGTATGACAATTTCTGCATTTCTATGGAGAAAGTAGGGGCGTAGTGTGCATTTTTCAGCTTTATCTGTTTTTTGTTTGTTTTCTTTTGTGTGAACACACACAACTATGAAAGTGCTTGTCTTTACTGTATGCAAACCCCAAGGCACCATCTGGTTCTCCTGCTATCTCAGCCTGTTGATCACGTGTGCACTCACGTTGTTATATGGCTGCTGGGAGCTGACTCCTGTGAACTCAGTGTGCTGTTAATCTGTGGGTGAAACCCCAGAGGGAAATACGATGCCGACTCAACCATCCAACACCCTCTCTCTATTTTACTCATTTTCCTACACAAGTAAACAGCCAGATGTTTGGGAAAAACAGGGAAAGATGAATAGGAAGGGAGGAGTGGCCACATCATGAACCAACTGTAAGGCAGAGGGAGGAGTCGAAGAAATGAGGGGAAAGGGCAAACAGTGAGTCAGGAAGAAGATGGGGTATGTAAACATGTTTATGAGTTGAGGGTGATATGAAAAAATGTCTGTACGGTGCACAGCTGCAAGTATTAGTGGAAGCACAATCCTGAGCAGTAGCAACTCTATATGTGCCTCGTGCTGTCTCTACCCGTGGGGCCTTCATTTCTGGTACATCCAGTTCGTACAGGACAAACTGAACAGTAGCATTTTGCATCTCCTAGAACTTAATCAATTCTTTTGGAAATGCAAGGCATTCAATGGCACACACTGAGAAGTTCATGAAGTAACTGAGTAACAGTTTCTCTGACTTACAGGTTCAAAGAGGCCGACTCTAGTTTCATTCAGCCTTTAGGAGGAGAGGAAATTTCACTGCAATAGTCTGCAAGCCGCATACCTACTTTCACAAAGGAAAGGAGGGCAAAATTGCAAAGTTTTTCCAGTTTTATTTTTAAGCGGGAGATTACAAACTTACATTTTGGTACATTACACAACTTTTGTAGTTCATGAATATAGTATCATAAAGATATGATTTACTCAAGTTTGCCCAACAAGTGAAACAACACTGAGATATACTTCTGTAAATATATATATCTGTCACAATAAAGATGGTGGAATTGTAAGATGTTAAAGTTTTTCATTCTCTGTAGTTATGTATAATGCTCATGTAATGCCATGCCAATCTGTTATTCATAAATGGTTAAAGCTACATGTATATGTTTTAATATAAAACCTATTATATGCATTGCTGTATGATTGCTTATAACCAACCACCAGTTATGGTAAAAACATTGAGAAGCAATGGACAAACATTTATTTCAAGCAAAGTCTGCAGAATATTAAAGTACCACAAAGCATAAGCTGTGCCTCACACACACTTCAAAAGTTCTGAGTGGCCTGCATTCAGACATCAATTCACACACACACAGCAAATCCTCGTCTGATCCTCCGTGAGAGAGTTTACTTTGTAAGATGGCGTTTGCTTGATGAAAAAAAAAAAGGAGATCAGCAAAGCAGAGGGAAGCAGACCTGTACCAGTTCAGACCAGTTCTACAGAGCACTCATGCTTTCATGTCATTGTTTCAGGCTCCCACAATGTGCACTCACAGAATGAACAATTGAACCTCTTGGCTTTGATCTCATCTAAAAACAGCATAATGCTCAGGTGTTCATTTATTGATTTTCAGCTTTCCAACAAGTTTGGGCATATTTTCCCTTCAAATGTCAAGTCAACAAAAAAATACGACTGTATTATGTTTAAAGACATTGAATAGTTAGAAAACTAGAAATAGTTTGGAAATCAAAAGATCACCATGTTGATTGATGGTTTGAGAATAATTTACAGAGAAAACTAAAGATTAGATATTTCACTGAGCATGAAATGCTCATTAAATTGTTGATATCACTTGGACTTTGAGTTATATTGTGTAGTTCTTTGCTTTAGTCACCACTGATAGCATTATTATATCTTAGATGCTTATCAAGCTGTAGTAGGGATAATTTAATCTACACACAACTTGCCATGCTTCTCTTGGATTGTCATACATTTTTGTCAAACAGTTTCCTGACTGTACTTGTTTGCAGGATATTCACTTCTACACACACTTCATTCTCTACTTTTGTCTTTCTCAGTGAGAATGTGTGGCCCAGTAATCTCTCACAGAAAGCTGAGTGTGCACAACAGAGAAGGCTTCCACCTCCAACTACTTGTTAGAGCTAATACTGAACAAGAAAACAAAACCCCGATCACGAGTGCTTTTAGATGTAGGACACACTGCAGAATACCAACTTCTCAAACAGAGGGTTTAATTGTATGCATTTGTTTTTTTACTGTAGCTCACATCACTCTTCTTACCCTCAGTGTTTCTCTCCTTCTCACTCACTTAGGTTTCTTCCCTTCTGCGAGCCCCTCTTTCCCCAACTACTCCCACCTCCTACTGCCAGCATCAAACAATGGTTGGACATTATGTAAGAATGGTTTTTCTGTGTGAGCAGAATGCAAAACAGTGCAGTTCAGTGATAAAGCACTGTACCATGAAACATAAAAAAGAGCAGAGTGGTGCAGCAGAAGCATGATGGAGCTATAACACATGGGTCTATCGATTGAAACAATCCTTTGCTTTTTAGAACATGACCTTTTCTAATCGTTATATGATGCTGATGTTCCAGACCTTGTTAAGAGGATCTGAACATTGTAGCCTGAGCACAGCAACCTGTAGTATGTCTTGGAACATGTATTAGTTTGACCAGTAAACCAGACTCAATGACAAGTCTAAATGAAATATTCACCTCATTTGGGTCTGCTACACTTTTTCCCTTCAATTTAACAGTAACCAAACATGACAGCAGCCCCAGGGTTGATGAATACTGACCTTTGAACCACAGTCTGTTTGAGATAAACTCATACCTATCAGTTTGAAAAAAGCTTTGATTACATAGTGTATAAAACTGATTTTAAGGACCTTTGGAGTCTTTTTATGATTACCCTTTATTTGTGAGCTAGTGACAGATAAGTTAAAACCAAATTGATACTGTTCAGGTCTCTGGATTAACCTTAGGGACATGCTGGGAAAAAGATAAAACTTTGTGAACCAAAATACAATATGCACAGCTGGAACTTCCTCAGCATTCCAGTTATGTCTGCTGTTGCTCTTTTTGTTCTATTGTCTGATGTAGAGTACGGTGAAGATGTGTTTGCTTTGATACAAAGCTTGCTTATTTTGAAGAGGCCAAACACACATTTTCTGTGGCCACACAAGAAAAAGTATTATGCAATAAAGGAAAAAACAATTACATGAATGAAAACTTGGAATATTTTTTTAATCTTATTACATTTCCTACATTAAGATACCCGACGTTACAGCACCCCTTAGAGGATCTTAGCCTTCACTACATCTTTTTTTAATCATATATTTATTTTTAATATAGCATCAATTCTGAGATGATTTCAAGGATAATCAAAACAAGTTTACACACTTTTGTTTTTTAAAACAGTTGCAGTTATATAAAAAAAAGCTTATACTAACTTTACTAACAGCAAAAGGAACACTTAGGATTTAAATCCAGTGTTAGACATCATACCAGAATTTTGCCCTTTTTTCTTTCATCATATGATGAAACATGATGAATATATGTGGATATTCTCTCAAGCATGAAACAGCAGTTTGTTAACGAGATATGGATGTTTTTTTCTACTATTTTGTGCTATTTAATTTTGACTTTTGTTTTAATTTCGTTAGATAAAACGTACTTTTACGAGGCGGAGGCCAAAAAGTCACCAATATTCTAAGCTCCACATAAGGAAATATTAAACTGACAAATCAACCGAATGACTTTGCGTCGCTTCAAACTTACGTAATGACGCACTCTTATACGTCAGCAACCAGGAAATGAGTATATCTAAAAAGAGGAGGGGTTGAGGAATATCAACAGAGCAACAGACCACGGCTTTTTGCCATTTCTACTTCGTGTTGCTTTGCTTTTTTTCTGCCGCCCCCGATCGCGGAGATGTCTCGAAAACCCAAAGAAGAGTATTATCGTTTTTTTACCGTCTCGGACCCACGCACACATGAGAAGGGACACACAGAGTATAAAGTGACAGCAAGGGTTGGTTTGGGCTCTCTATCCCTCTGTAGCTGTAGGTTATTGTATGAAAATATGATTTATGATGTGTTTATTATGGCTATGTAAAAAACTATGACTATTTATTTTCGATTTTTCCAAAATATACGTTGTATTTAAATACACCACAATTGTATTTGTTATGGCACTGTTTTCTTTTTTATTAAACGTGAAACTAGTGTGTTATTCGTTTATACACTACGGAAGTGAAAAAGTGTATGAAGCCACAGCAAGAAATACACAATGGGTCTTTTATTTGAATTGGCGGTGCCCAGTGAAAGCTCCAGTCAGAACTTGTGATTGAGTATCAGTACCCCCATGACCACACACACACGCATTTAAAACCATGCCAAACATCTTCCCGCCGTCCATTGACTTATGATTTATCTCTAAACACGATATAAGACACGAAATAATTTTTTAAAAAGTACTTTAAACTTTGATGACATTTGTTTGTAGTTTGTGTCCAAACGTCATCCAGAAGATTTGAAGGAGGTGGTCGTGTGGAGGAGGTTTTCAGAGCTGAAGAAGCTTCATGGAGAGCTGGCCTACACACACAGGAACCTGTTCAGAAAGCAGGAGGAGTTCCCATCTTTTCCGCGTGCGCAGGTTTTCGGTATGTTGTGCAAAAAGTGGGAGATGAGCTGAGAGTTGTGACGAACGGAGTCTAAAGGAGGGTTCTAGAGCAAGCAGATTCAGAGTGCTTTCCATTAAACACTTAGTGTATGAAAGCATGTTAAGAAAAGAAATGTATTGTTTGCAGACACAGTGGCGTCAAAGTTACTTGACAGAGGCAGAAGTTAGTTGGATAACGGCAGCCTATTATGATACGTGGCAGAGTTTTTTATAATCAGTGTGGCCAATTCAGCCTCAGTATGATTATAGACAGTGATTTATATCTTTTTCATGCAGTATGCTCCACTTAGTCCGTTATCAGGAGTCTTGTGACATTTCCCCGACTGCCTATGGCTTAATCTTTCAGCGGTTAGCATTACACATCAGCAATGCAGCTAGATGTCATTATCTAGAGTGGCAGAGAACAACATTTATTTCATTCTACTAATCCTGCCGAGCTTGAGTAGAGGTGCTTTGTTATTTGAGAGGATACTTGTCTTTTAATAATTTTAAACGGCATCAGCTGTACTGTCAGTTTCTTTGGATATTATACTGATATCAACATCTCTTTTAGGAAGGTTTGATGAGGCTGTCATCGAGGAGAGGAGGAAAGCAGCAGAAGCAATGCTTCTATTTACGACCAGAATACCTGCTCTTTACAACAGTCCACAGCTTAAGGAGTTCTTCAGAGTGAGGATATGCACAGACATAACGTGAACTAGCCACACAGAAAAATCAGAGGTTTCCTTAGTCATTTGTCTGTTCTTTTGATCTTTCTCTTTGTTGTGTTTCTACCACACAAACTTATATTTTATTCAGACTTTTTGTTTCCTCACCCTTTGTTCTATGTAACCATTTTTTCCTTTCTTTCTCTCAGGGAGGGGAAGTCACAAGGCCTCTGGATTCCTCCCCTCTGTCCTCAGCCGGGCCTCTGCCTCCCCCTCTCATTCCCCTCCCCAAACGAAGGGCCTCAGACTGTGAGCCTGCAGAAGAAGAGGAGGGGAGAGAGGCTCCCACTTTGCCCCAAGATCTGGGCACCAACCTAAGCCTCGAGGTGGGGGAAGCAGAGGTGGCAGCCGAGGCTTACAGCGAGATTGGATCTCCAAGAAAAGAGGACCAAGAGGAGCTGAGTGACACAGAGCTGGGTGATCGAGGTGGGACTGCCGGAATAAGCACATTTTTATTATTTTCATTTTTATTCTGTAATTTTGATTAAAATCTTCCGTTTTCTTCCAGCTCCATCTCCTGACCTTAACCCAGAGCAACACATCCAATGTAAAGAAAATCAGGAAGAGTTTGATTCTCTGTTTGACTCTGTGGCAGAGGAACCAGTTCCATCCCCAAAGGATGAGGGTCCTCCTCCACTCTCTGACAATGACTTGGCTGTCTTTGATCCCTGCTACAAACCAGGTTACATCAAAACAAAAATATAATCTGATCTTCTAAAGGTTCGAAACCTGTGTATGCAAATCTTTCTAAACTTCTTGCTGTCTCCTTTTCTGTTACAGATAGATCAAACTCCTGCACTGACCATTCAGAATTGTTCTCATTGCCACCAACCTCTGTGGATGGAGGGGATGTGGGTTATTTGAACCAAGCAGCAAAAGAGCTGAAAGCTGCCATGGAGATGGAGAAGGGGGGGGAGTTTGACTCTGCTATCCGTGGATACAGGACGGCAGTGGATATACTAATCACTGGAGTGCAGGGTAAGGAAGAGCGATCCAGGTGTATAGAAGGAGGGATGGTTAAGATGAGAAAAACAAAGGGAGGTTAATAAGTTTTCCTATTATACGTAATATATTTCAAAATATTCATGAGGGCAACTCAAACTTTTGAGTTTTGCTAAATTGGTGGAGTTTTGGAATTAAGAAAAGATTATTAAAGATTTTGTTAGAGCTGTGTGTGCAGGTAGTCCCCCTCATTGCTGCTGCACTGGATCATGCTAGATTGGTGTTTTTATTAAGTTTGTCATGTTTTTCACAGATTGGTGGCTGTTATAAAGATCGCTGGATACAGTCAAAGCATTGATTATTGAACTTTTCAGTTTATCCTGTTCTGATCTGCACAATAAAGGACGCCAGAAGCAAAATAAACCAAACAAACACAGGAATGTGCCAAGTGCAGCTCTGCAAACAAGTCATAACTCTCCATTGGGTGTTCTGTGGTTACAGCATTTCCCCCCTCCTTTCAAATCTATACTTAGAAGGGCAAAAGTGTTCCTCCCTCTTTTGGTAATTCTGTCAGACAGTGATTCATCAACAGATGTGAGGTAGCATGGCTGAGCAGTCCAAGGCTCTGGATTATGACTCCAGTCTCTTTGGGGGTGTGGGATCAAATGCCACTGCTGCCATGTAGGCTTTCGCAAACTGAATATAGTCTTAACAGGGCATACAGATCTGATTAGTCTCAGTGCAGAATGTAGAACATTGAACACACAGACTGCCATGGGTTAGATACACTTTTTTTTTAATGTGTTACAGGAGAGCCAGATCCAGTTCGGAGAGACTCTGTGATGAGAAGGACAGCTCAGTATCTGAAGCATGCTGAGATGCTGGTGGACAGGCATTCCTCCCCTGGTCACTCTCACACACCGACACACTCACAAGCACAGGGCCCATAGACACACTCACCCAACCATATGTTGTGCTTATAGAGTGTTCACACGTGAGGATCAGCCAGAGACAAAGAAGCTCAGGGTTGTGGCACAGGCCCATTTCATACATTAAAAAAAGGTCAACAAACAATCCCATAGATAGAAACACACAGCAAACTCTGATACACGTACATCAGACTAATCTACCATGTATCAGAATACCTGAGTAGAAGGCTGCTTAGGTGAAACCACACAACTGTACGTGGCACAAATACACTCCTGAGGTACACACCGCACTGCACACTGGTTTCTTCTGCTGCCTTTGTTAAGCGAGAATGTGTAATTTACCAAATTAATTAACTGAAAATATGGAAACTGAAAGTAACCGCTGACTTAATGGACATTCTCTTTATCTTGATTTTTTTAAATTAAATAATGTGTATGTTTATCAGCGATTTGCCATTTGCACAATGTTTTATTAATAAATATGATTTTGATTTGAATATATGATATCTATTTCCTTTTCTATGTGTAGATAACACAGTATGATTGCTGCAATCAACCATGTTTGTTAGCACCTTAGATAAAAGTGCTATGAGTCATGTTCTCACCACTACAACATAAATCCAGGTTGTTTGCTACACTAAAGTGTATGTCCTAGAATTTCGGTTTGTAGCTTCATTTAGATGCCTGAATTATTTAAACGTGTCTAAATACAGCAAAAGAGACAGCGTGTAATTTAGAACAGAATTTAGAATTTAGAACAGAATATACAGTACAGGTTTGTTTGAAATGTAATGCCAGGTGAAAGAAAAAATCTAACATCTAATAGCATTTGGAGTGATGTTTACTGGCAGCAGATCAGTTACTGGGTTAAAAACAGCATCTGAGAGAAGTTGTGTCGGTCTTTAAGAAGTATTTGATCACAGGGAGAAGCACACCCCTTGGTGAAAAACTAATAATAACTAATAACATGCTTTAAGGGAAGTACAAGTACAAACCTCTGTCTTTTTTGTCTTTTAGTAATAGCCTCTGAGCAGAGATCAGTTGGCCCTGAGAGTTTTGCAGTAGCTAGATAATAACTGTGAGAGGTGCTGTTGCTTCTTGGATGGCGATTCACATCCAAACTGGAGAAACTCCTCATCCCTTGTCCTGATGTGAGTACCAAAACATAACTATATTGTAATGCAAAGTGAATAGTTTTTTTTAATAATACTATAGCATTAGCTACTGATGGGAGGACAACATAACTCTTAGTAAAGGTTCTGTATTTCTCATGTTATCCACAGTTTATTAATCAAAGGTCAATCGATGCTCATAGTACTCAGTTCTTGTAAAACATTGTTCATAAATGTATCCCATTTCTAAGATTCACATTCACATTTTTTTTTAGATAATATCTATAATGTTCTTTGTGGTACATTGGGTATTCACCTACAGAGAGAGAATAATCATTTTTCCAGTAGTGTCAGTTTAGATGGACAGTGGTTAGTTGGCAGAAAAGAGAAAAGTGAGCGCTGCCAAATGCAGAATCCTTTCTCTGGAGAGGCAAAAAAGGATAGAGGGAAAACTGGAAACAGATGGAGGAGTGTAAAAAAATTGGGGTTGGTGAAAGGAAAAGGCTCCCTTTTTCCCTCTCCAGATGAGTAAATGAGGGGTAGCAGGGAGTGAGAGATAACAGAGAGGATGGCAGGGAGGAAAAATGAAGGGATGAGATTAGAGGATAAGCAGAGATGATCCCTCCATTGTTAAAGGGATGGAAAAAACAGACCCTCCCTCTTCCTCTGTTTTCATCTCTCTGTCACTCTCCATGCTTTGTTTTGACCATTGTGGGGAGCTTGAAGTGGATGGAGGGATCGCAGAGAAAGCAAGAGATAACATTGCTCCATCCTGTTACATATCCCTCTTTTCCTCTCATCTCTCCACCTCTCGAGCTCTCAGTCCATCTCCCCCTCATTGTGGTGCTCCACCTGTGAAATGCAGAGGATGTGAGATGGAGAGGAAGAGACAAAGAGATGCATGGGGGAGGTTTGAAACCAGAAGGGGGGTACAGCCTCATAACATTAGCATGCTGAGAGTGTCAGCACTCTCCTCCTTTTCTATCCCTCCATCCTCATCCCTCTTTCCACCCCTCTCTCTGTCTCTTTCTCCTCACTGGTCACTGCAATTATACCATCAAAACACTCCAGCCTGAGAGCATAATAGCTTTCCCCTGCATGTGTGTGTGTGTGTGTTATCATGAGAGATCAAAAGAAAGAGATGTGTGTGCGTATTTGTGCATAATTTAGTGCCACACATAGTGCATTAAGTGTGCATGTATGACATGAAGGGCAGCTGTTGGTGTGTGAGTGCGCACGGCAAAACTGGATGCACAGCATGTGTGGGTGCACATGAGAGTGTTTGAGTCCGCAGCGGCTAGAAAAACTGCTTCTCCAACCTCTGACCAAACACACTCTCAAACACACTCCAGTAGACGTGCTTCTCGTGTGTCTCCCCAGAGTTTCTATTTACGTGGCCGCAAAAGCACACTAATGGATGCACACGAGCGTACAGTCGTGGCTCGGAGACACAAACCGTTATGACCTACATGCCCACTGGGTCATTGTTAAGCCTAACAACACACTGTGACACCTTCATCTGTCCACACACTTTCTCCAGCTTTTGCTGTTTTAGTTTTATTTCTGTTCTCTCCTCAACTTCCTGTCTCGTTTCTCCCATCCTTGCCTTCCATTTTGCCTCTTTCTCTATCGCACACGTACACACTATCCACCCTCTATGCGCTTGTTATCCCTCTGTGTCCCTTCATTTCTCTCTGTCACCTTGCCCTCAGCTATTTGAGCACACTTCTGTCCCTCACACTCACCCCATCCCTCGCACACACACACACACACACACACATAAACACACTCATCCTATATTTTCTGTTCCAGACTGTTTTTCTGCCTATCAGATTGAAATAGACTTCGCATTTGTCATCTGTCTTTCAGGGCCTGAGTGTTTGTTGAGGGGTGCAGAGTTCGTCAGGGTTGTCATGGCAGTTGTAAAAGCAGTTAGTCACTTCATTCTGTGGTTTGGTAAAGTTTGAAAATGAGCATCACCTCATTACATCCAGCATTGGCAATGAACCTGTGTGGAAGAAAAACTAAGCTGAAAGCAGGTGGTTCAAAAGGATGTCAAACTTCCCAGAGCTAAATTTTTTTTTGTGGACAGAAGAGACTAAAGCAGAACTGTTTTGGATAAAAAAAGCCTCATGAATGATGCAAATTTTTTCCAGCTCAGGAACTTTCTCTCAGCGGCGCAACGTGAGATAATGTTTTTCATGAAATGCAGATTTGTGGTTATAACAGCACTCACCTGCGCGACGGTGGAGTTTGACTCAAAGATTTGTTTCTTAAACAACGAATATTCATACTGAAATGACAATTAACACAAAAATATTGATGAATGCAGCTGTAATTTATAACTTCCCATCCCTTCCACTCCAGACCGCGGCACCTCCCACTGCTCGGGTCTGTGTCCTCTCTTTCCCCCCCTCCTCCTAATTCCCGCTTTCACCCCATTGCTCTCTGACTGTAAGTAAATCAATAAACATACACTTTATGCCATTTATTGACCCTTTCATATCTATCTGTTCCACCCCCTCCTGTTGTCTCTCTTTCTCTCTGCCTCACATATTCTACTCCCCTCTCTCCCCATTACCCCCCTTCTCTCTCTCTGCCTCCCTTTGAATTGATAACCTCTTTCCCCCTCTTTCCCTGTCACTCCCTTTCTCTTTATATCTCTCGCTGTGGGACTTCCTATTTTTATGGCTGGCACCTTCATGCTTTGACTGAAGTGTGTATGTGTGTGAGTATGATAGCGAGTGTTTGATGTTAGTCTAAGTGGTTAACATAATATGAGCCCTCAGAGAGATGATGTTCAGACACTCACATGCACAGAGACACAGTTTTAGTCTTTTTTGGCAGGCTTTTCTGTCTATAATTTGTGCTTTTTAGTATTCTCCAGCCTGAGCAGCTACATTCTCCTACTGTCTGCATACACGCGCACCGTTGTTCCTTAACACCTTCCTAAAAGAATAAAACCCGGTATTATCTTTTGTTATTTATTATTGCAGATGGAGCCATCATTTCGGGACCCTGCTGTCTCTTTTCCTCCTCCCTCCACATATGTTTTTATTTATTCAGACCTCCCCTCTTTCCCTTTTTTCTGCCCTCTCCTCCTCTCTGCATATTTATTCAGACACATCTCTTTTTCTCTCCATCTCTCCCTACTTTGGGTACAGACTCTCTCTGTACCCATGTGTCCAGCTTTTGTTACCAGCCTTGTTTCCATAACAACTGCGACCTTTCACTTGGTGCATAACCATTTTTAATCAGAGGTAGAGAAGGACCGAAATGCGATGAGACAGAGAGGGAGGGGGTGGGTTGGAAAGGGTAGTGTTACTCAGGTGATGCACTAGATTGGTGAAAAAACAAATTATCCTCAGTGAAATAGATAAGAGACAGAGGCAACAGGGTAGAGCCAGGAATGCAAACTGGCCTTGTTCCCATGTGAGATAACACTTTTGTTTTTGTTTCTGTTCACTTTCTGCAGGCAGAGCGTGTCCAGGACATTCATGCATTTACTTTTATTTTCCTGGAATCAGGTGCAAACTGTTTTGGGTTTTATTCTTTTTTCATTTTTTAGCCTCCCATTCCCGTCTTTCTCTGTCCAATCGCTCTGTGTTCTTTTTTTATACAAAAATGGTGCAATCATCAAGCTTGAAGAATGTTCATTCAGTCTGTTGTCAAGAAAAATAAAACTGTTGAACACGTGACTATAAACACAATGATGTGATTGAATTCAGTGATTATAGATGTATTTTCGGGAACAAGTTGGGAAAAGGTAACTGAAACCCTCACATGTGTTGCTGGGTCATATCTTTTAACCTAACCCAAAAGTACGTCAAAAGTACCCGCAAAAGCTAAATATGACTTTCAAAAGCTTCCTCTATCCTTTGATGGAGAGGCAGCTGTTTCCTCATGAGAGGGAATGTTCAGTTGAATATTAACCACTAGGAACATCGCCACGGTCCTTTGAATGATGTGAGATTGAAGTACAAATGTGTTCCATCTAAATCTCAGTCTCATGTCAAATATACGCTGGAAATTCAACGAAGAGAATAATAGCCATCCAAGTGAAAATAAGTGGAGTTGTAAGAAAAAACAGAGAAGCCGAAAAAGCATCATGGCTGACGGTTTCCTCTTCTGGTAAGAAAAAATGTGCCATTCATGAAAAGAATGTATTTTCACCAAACCCAGCATACAGAGAGACACAAAGATTGTTCATTTTTCACCAGCATGACAAGGTTTTTTTTTATTTTGATGGTTTCCATATTCTGAACAGCTTACACTGACATTTGTTCGTTTGAACAATCAAATGAATGAATTTATCATAAATAAATAAATTAAAAAAATGTCCCCACACTGTGTGGTTCACTCTGGACTTATTGATTGTGACCTTTCATGATTGACATCTCCCAGGGAAAACCCCCAGGCAGTCTCTCTCAAACTGAGTAAAGACACAGTGGTCCTGTGTGTGTGACTGTCCCCAGATTCAGTGCTGGAGCTCAAAGAAGATTCATGAGGGGAGATAAAACTGTTAATGAGTGACTAGCTGATTTCCAGAGGCAAAAACACGTATAAACCTCTAACAGTCAGTGATATCCCAATGATGCAAAAACCCTGTGACTGCATCCGTGAATGTATAGAAACTGAAATATGCTTCAGATACACTCATCTTTTGTTATTTTTGGCAAATAGGAGGCATCAATAGTAAAGTCCTCATGAGTTTTAGTAAGGAGCAAATGCTTTAGACATTAATTGAAAATGAGTGGCTGCATTATTTACTGACTGTTCTACAGACCACAATGTGTGTGTTTACACACACTGGGGGTCATGCCAACATGGGAGGGAACGGACCATCAAGTGGACAGCACTCGAGTCCGCCCGCCCACCGCGCGCCTCTCCACACCGGGAGCAGCGCGTGAGGTTGATGGCAGCCAAAGATAGATGGGTTGACGAGGGAGGAAAAACCCGCACAACCAGAACAGAGAGAGGAGGCGTTTGATAAGTGAGAGCAAAACTGTTAGAGTTGCGGAACAGGACAAAGATAGGGGACAGAGAGAGCCCGGTCACGGCCACAGAGCGGAACCACGCTGCCGAAATTTTCTGCCAGCGCCAACGTCCGAGGCCGGCCAGCTGCCTCCTGGTGACGGTCAGCCGGACGGGACACGCAGCAGCACGGACACCGGTGGGTACGCCTGCCTCGGGGGGGGGGACTGCCACGGCCGGAGCGCTGCGCGGGCACTAACGGTCAGTTCACTAGTCAACTTTAAACTCAGGGCATGCATGGGGTGTCCCCACTCCCCAGGTCGACTAAAGCCTCGAAGCTCCGTGCCCGCTCCGCTCCTCTGGCGTTGTTTATCTGCTCTTTCATAATGCGACATTAGTCCCAACCGCTGCCAATTAGTCACAGGACGCACAGCGGGCACGCGCGCACATAAAACTGGCAGCTCGTGCGTCAGAGTGGCCAAAGCGGATTCCTCTCGCGCGGCAGAGCCGGCAGATGTTGCCACGCAGAGGGTTCGTTAAGCTCCAAGCACTGGAGGTTATGAATTATTTAGCGAAAAGCATCCCTTTCACACACAGACAGATAGATAGATAGATAGATAGATAGATAGATAGATAGATAG